TTCGTCCCATCCGAAGTCCGACGGGGTCGTCCATTAGGGAGTCATCGTCTAAGCGACCGCAGTACCGACAACCTCGACCGGAGAGTCTGCTCGGGTCTTTACCATCCCGGCTGCCATCGTCGATAACGTCCGCCCGAGATGATACATCCAGAGGTACAACTTCGGACCCTGTCCCGAGTTTGGTTGGTACCTCCGATGAGTCGGCTTACGGTACACGCCAGGGTCGTACTTGTCCAGGAACAGCTCTGGGTCGTCCAGTTCACCGACACTTGGTCATAGCGCGGCATCGCATATGCCCTGGACCGGGGTCGGTCAACTGGTAATGAACGGCCAAACTTCAGGGACTGGTATGTCCGGAGGGGAACTTGGGTTGTACGTGACGCGCGAGGTGTCCGAACATCCGGTGTTGCCCGATCCACAAGATGTCACCATGACTGAGGCGACATCCGAAGCAAGTGAGAGACCAGTCCGATCGCGGAAGTCTGAACGGAACCATCGGCGGAAGTCTAGGCGAGATTCGCCTTCAAGTGAGTCGGATTCGGACTCCAGCAGGAACAGCCATTACCGACGACGGAGTTCTCACAGGTCTTCGGCTAAACGCTCTTCGCGGAGACGCTCTCCGTCACGAAGGTCCAGCCGGTCTCGAAGATCATATCGATCGGAGAGGTCCAGGCGAACCGGATCGTTCACCTCGTCCGGAGCAGCGGAAGCGTTGGTGTCAACACTCCATCAGGTGCAGCAGCTCAGTGCTGCACCTGATGGAAGACCAAAGAACAGCGAAGAACATCCAAGAATTCCACGTGCGACAGTTACGCGACCTTCGGGCAACATCTGCCGAAGTTCAAGTAGATGTACCAACGGTCGCCCCCAAACCAACAACTGCCGAGTCAACTGGGAACAGTTACCCTCAAGTGGCAACTGTCCAGCGTGGCGTAAACATGGGAGAGGGGGTTGAAGTCTGGTCGGAACCTGGGATGAAGAACGTTCCAGGCGTGGTGCTCGACCAGTTGCGTGCGACACTGGCAGCAGCCGATTTCGCACGACTTGCCAGAAGCGTGAAGCCGGTCGAAGTGAAGACAGAAGTGCGTCGCGAGGAGCTCGCGCCCAGGATGAGCAAGATGCCCCAACAAGGAGTCAACGACATGCCGACGCAACGGATGTGAAGTCCCAGACGAAGAAGAAGCCGTCCAAGTCCAAACGGACCAAGGTACCGCAGAAGAAGCCTCGACGCGGTGAGGACCCGTCCGACGCAAGTGGGAGTTCAAGTTCAGAGGAGAGCAGCGATGAGTCAAGCGACAGCTCCGAGGATAGCCTGGACGAGGATACTCAGTCACGGATGGTGTTGCCGTCCGCAGCAGGAGCAGGATCTACGATGTTGACGCTACGCCCGTACGTGAACTCTGCTACACTTGGCATGTTCGACGAGAAGGCCTCGATCTCTGACCGGAAGAATTGGTGGGAGAAGTTCACCAATATGTCTGTCCAAGGTGGGTGGACCAGCCAGGTTAAGATCCGAGAGTTGAAGATGAAGATGCCGTCTGCAGTTCGCAATTGGCGTGGCCAACTTCCGAAGCATGTGCGGTCCAGCTGGAAGAACCTGTCTGTAGAATTCCGCCGAGAATATCCGAAGTCCCGTACGTCAGAACCCGAGCGATATTTCACGATGCGACAGAAGTCGTCGGAGAGCGCATTGGATTTCTTTTACCGTCTAAACGACGCTGCGGTCAAGGCGGGAATTAAGTACCGCAAGTCAAAGAAGGAACGAGAGGAGCACATCGAACGTTTTCTCAAGAACCTGAAGGACTCCCAGCTGAAAGTGGTATTGCGCAATCAGCGGTTCAAGGACTTGGAAGACTTCGTGTATGTTCTGAAGCAGGACAGAGATACGGTCGTCGACGGGTATGACAGTTCGTCATCCCAGAAGCGTGATTTCCGAGCGGACAATATCCCGTACAGCCGACATCGACCCAAAGGGCGCGCATTCATTGGCCTCAGTGAGGACGAAGCCGGATGGGACTCTGAAGGACACGTTTGTTTCGAGGATGAAGTGGAAGAGGTCAGCCCCAAGTGGAGACGAAGATAGTCGAGCGTGGAAGTCTAGGCGGACCAAGCGCGGAAGTCCGAGCTCAGCCGACACCTACCGAGCAAGACATCCATAACGCTGCGTATCGTGCCATGGAGAATGTCGGATGGAGACCGCACCAATCAGGATCCCAGTCTGGATGGCAGTCGCCTCGGCCCGGATGGCAATCACCCGGCCGAACAATCCAGACAGGAATGAGTTCTGCGAGAAGTGTATGAAATTCGGACATAAGAAGCACAACTGCTGGATCGATGTGGCGTGTGAACGTTGTGGCAAGAATGGCCACCCGGGTCATGCCTGTCGGGCTCGACCGTGCCCTTACTGCGACAAGTGTCACCAAGATAAGTGTTAAGATTTCGAAACCATGGAAACTGTGAAGAATCTCGCTCGGAACGGTGTACTGAAAGGCGTGCCTCCCGATATCCCCAAGAAATTGCTGGATGGGAAACCGATCCAGGGAAGTCGTTAAACTAGTTAGCCCGCTGGATGGGGATACAGAACGCGCCGGGCTTGAGCGACCCCAAGGATTGTGCGTCTTAGCGTACGTCGGAAGAGAGTTGAGAGAGAAGAAAATAGATAACCAACACTGCATGACAATGAATCAAGATTATCCTATCGAGCCTATTCAAGTTCAACCGGATTTGACCGAAAGCGAAGGTTCGGTTGATCTTCCGCTACGACCTGGACAACGATATGGTTAGTGGGAGGATCATCAAACGAATGATAGTCATGATGTTGCTATGGTGTATGGAGCAGTGAATGATGAACGAACGAAGATTCTACTTGACTCAAGAGCGTCTAGAAGTATGATTAGCTTGGATCTTGCGCGTAGACTTAAGCTAAAAAGTCGGATGCTCGTGGACCCAGTCAAGGTGTCCGGGTTAGGTGGAGTTCAATCGTATATCACTGCCATGGCTAGAGTGAAAATCACGCTTGGAATGAACGTCGTGTACGTCATGAACGTTTGGTTGGCAAACATAGGTGAAGGATTGGAAGTCCTGTTGGGAATGGATTTCATGTATGCCGCGGGGATGCGCCTGTGCATTCGAGAAGGTTTGGTGAGGATGACTGATGAAGAAATGGTGGTAATGTGCACTGGACCAAATCGCGAGCGAGTGGGCCAGGATGTGCCAGTGCACCCAGATGAGACTCTGCATCTCCAACCAGGCGAACATGCAATTGTCTGAGTGAGATATGGCCAGACGAATCCTCAACGGAAAGTTGTTTGGGCCGGGCGAGGAGATCGCTGGGTGACGCAAGTCATTTACGCTGCGAAATCATGGGCGGTGGCTGTCAAGGTGGTTAACATCTCGCAGTCGAGACTATGGTTAAATACAGGGACTGTCGTGGCAAGGATGGTGGAGTATGGTTACTTCCCCCAAGCAGGACGGTTCGTTCGGCCGGGAAGGCAGCGATACAAGGAGTGGTCTCAGCTGATCTATGAGGATACCAAGTCCATTGAGCGACAGAGGTATGAACGGAAGCTGGCTGAGCTCGAAGAATCGCTGCGACCACCTTGTGTACAGGCCCGTGAATATCGATGGCCTTCAAAGTTATTGTTGCGTCCGGAATCAGGAGCCACCACTGCCCGTGTGGCCTGTCTCCAAGTCAAGTTTGATCGGCTAGAGCCAGGGAAGCGTATGGTCAAGATGACTTCAGATGCTGGAACCCAAACGTGCGAGACCTGCGACGTATCGACGCAGACGGACCCTGGATGGGATAGCGAATGTGAGGACGTCCTGCATGCGAGTCGAGATAGTGTGCGAATGGAATACGGAGCCGAGCCAGAACCTGAAAGGTCAGCGGACCCGGCGGAATAGTCCGGCGGTCCAATGCAACCGACGTTGGGACCCTGCCAGGTCCCTCGAGCCAAACAGATGAGCGGACCCCCGTCCAGAAGTTGGAGGCAGAGTACATCCGAGTGATGAAGGCTACGCAAGAAGAGTTAGATCTAGAACCTGGTGTTTACATCCATGAGGGAAGCGAGTTGATGGCTCAGCTGCGTGATGACCTCATGATGTTGCCGAATTTGAGCGACCTCATACCTGAGTGTGATATCTCCAAGGCAGATGTGGGGGTCCCCCGGACGGAGCAGTCCAGCAGAAGAAAAGTAGCTAAGGACGGTTCTCAGACGACATTCCAAGATCTTCTTAGGTGATGGAAACGCGGCACCTGCCCCAGCCCGGGGCGTGGTATGCGACATTGACTTAAGAGGAGCCAAACCGGTGGCAATGCGGCCAAGATCGATAATCCCTAAGGTTGCGATGAAGGTTTACGAGTTACTGAAGAAACGCCTAGAGACTGGACTCATTGAGATGTCTGACTCTGCTTGGGCTTCGCCTATCGTGATCGTCCTGAAGAAGAATGGAGTTGACATTCGCATGTGCATTGACTATCGCCTGGTGAACAGTTTCATTGAGCTGTCGAATTATCCGCTGCCGCTGATTGACGACCTCCTGGTGGGCTTCGAGCAAGCCATGTGGTTCATGTCATTAGACATGACAAGTGCATTTTGGGCCATACGTATGACCGAGCGAGCCAAGCGGATCTCCGCGTTCGTGTGTCCATTCGGCCATTTCCAATGGATTCGAATGCCATTCGGTATCAAGAACGCCCCATTGATATATCAAGAGATGATCAACAATTGTCTCTGGGGATTCGTCAGGTTACCGCCAGAGGAAGAGAAGACCGTGGATGCGGACGTTCTGAAGTTCCTGGGATTAGATTCAGCAGAAGAAGAAGAAATCGAGCGTGAGAAGTCCGCCCGGGAGGTGCCTATCCTGACAGATAAGATGACGGCTTTCAAGCGGAATATCCCAGCGCCATCGCAGATGGGACCCGTCCTCGGACGGAGTTGTTATATCGACGACATCGCCCATGGGGCGCCCACCTGACGACCAGTTGTGCGAAGATTTGAATGCTCTGCTATATCGGCTACGCTATTGGAATATTTCCGTCCCTTCCCAAGAATGAATTCGGCGAGCTCACCATTTCGTATATCTCTCATGAAATTAGTGCTGAAGGTTTTAGGGCTATGCCCAAGATCGCAAAGTCCGTTCAAGAGTTACCGTTCCCGACAACGCTCAAAAGAGTACAGTCCTTCTTGGGAAGCTGAAACTACTACCACAAGTTCATCGAGGATTTCTCGGTAGTGGCGGCGGCACTTCATGAACTCACTGATGAAAAGATCGGGATTTGTCCAGAGCCAAAGAATCGTTCGAGATTCTCAAGCGGAAAATCGTGTCTACGCCTCTGTTGCGTCACCCCGACCGGTACAAGCCGTTCGTGATCATTCCACATGCGAATCGCTGGGCGGCCTGCGCCCGTCCTAGGACAAGAGTATGATGGGAAGATCTTACCCGTACGATTCACCGGACGGGTGCTGAATGAAACAGTGATTAGGTATCATGAAGCAGAGAAAGAGGTGATCGCGATCATGCGAGCATTGGATGTATTCGAGAATCTCGTCAGGGGATGCCCGATCAAGGTCTACACGCGGTATTCCGTCCTGTCCTAGTTGTTGAAGTCTAAGAGGGCCGATGGACGTTGCGTCCGATGGGAAGTGATCTTGTCCCATTGGGACTTGGAAGTCCACAAGGTTCAGAGCGACGAGGATGGGTTGGCCGCTATTATGGGAGCAGGCATCACCCCACGTGAGCACTTGGATGAAGTAGCTGAATCCCTGATACCGCTCAAGGGGCGAGTGAAGCCCCAACCGGTTATCAGCGTGGAGATGTTGGAAGCAGACTTTGACGGTTACGTGTTGAGTTTCGACGGCGCTGTTAAGACGTCTACGCGTCAGGGCAGCTGTGGATGTATCATCTGGAAACTCCCCGGGTGGAAGGTAGTGACGGTTCAAGGTTTCGTACTCGAAGATGTCACTGTCAACGACGCAGAGTACCATGGTCTACTCAAAGGTCTGACCATGGTAGCCGAGCGGGACATCCCAGATGTGGTTGTTGTCGGAGACTCACGTATCGTGATACAGCAAGTGCAAGGGCTGATTAACTGTAACCAGCCCCATTTGCAACGGAGACTAGCAGAGTATGGTGTTCTACGAGAAAAGTTCAAGTCGGTCCGGTTGGTACATGTCAAGAGAGAATACAACCAGGCGGCCGACTATCTTACCTCGAAGACATTGGCGGCTGGAGAATCCTGGGTCGTGACCGACCCGGCCGAGATGACGCACTTGGAATATGTGTCTTCGATCGTTGATGAAGTCAGTAGTCGTTCTGGACTCAGAAGCCCCCGCTCGAGAGACACCGCCTTGCGAACCAACTAGTGTTCAGCCAGGACCCGAGTCCGCGCCTATACCAACCCCGGTTAGAATCATGACGGCCGTGACCCGGAGTCATGCTCGCGGAAACCCCAGTCAGAGTGATCCGATGGGACCATTGGAGTATCAAGCGGACAGGTGGAGACGAATCAAGGCGCACCAAGATGAGGATCACCGTCTCAAGAAGTTCTTGCGAGGTGAAGTGGATAGTTTCTCTCGCGCGCAGATACGTCGCCTCTCGAAGGAAGCTGACCTGTTCGTGTTAGACAGTGGAGACGTGTTGTTCCGTCTGAACCATTCCGCTCAGGGGAGACCCAGAGATCAGACGGACATGTTACGATTGGCAGTTCCAGAGACATTACGGCAGGACATATTGCCCTACGCTCATGAGGATGTCCAAGGGGGTCATCAGGGCATAACACATACGCATGAGAAATTCCGGACAGACTTCTATTGGTATGGAATGTACGCGGATGTGGAAGCGTTCGTCAAAGAATGCGTAGATTGTGCTAGCGGAAAGGGGCGCCCCTAACCAGGGGCCCTCCCCCGGGAACATTGATCCGACTCACCCATTTGAGATTGTCTCTATGGATTTCGTCACTCATTTACCGGAGTCCGCCCGGGGCAACACTTTCTTGTTGCTTTTCCAGGATATGTTCTCAGGTTATGTCATGTGCAAGCCGATGAGCTCAACCACTGCACAAGAGGTGGCTGAGGCGTATGAAGAACGCGTTTTCCAGATGGTTGGGGCGAGCTCCATGATACGCCACGACCAGGATCCAAGGTTTATGGACGAAGTGTTCAGGTGTTTTAGAGAATTACTGGGGAGCAGACAACGAGCCACCCTCGGCTACATGCCCCAAGCAAATGGTCAACAGGAACGGTCTGTTCAGACGGTGATTCGAAGTGTGCGTGCATATGTCGCTGAGGCAGAAGTCCGATTGGGACGTTCACGTCGAACGCCTGATGTTCGCGTTGAATACATCCTTTGACGCAACCCGTCTGAACACACCGTTTTACCTGGTACACGGTTGGGACGCCCAAGGAACAGTGTTAGCAATGCTCGGACCGAAACCATCTGGTGTTGTCGAGCGAACCGCGTACGAATGGCGAAGGAAACTGCAGCGCGATTACAGCTATGCGCAAGCCTGTGCAGAAGGCCTATAGCGGAAAGCCAAGCGAGATCGAGCGATCACCCAAACCCGGAAGTGGAGAGTCCTGTCGGATCGGACCAAGGCAGGATTTTCGGTCGGGGATGCGATATGGCTATACATCCCGAAAGCCCAGCCAGGGTTGAGCCACAAGCTCGCTCACCTTTGGCATGGACCTTTCCGGATTGCCGAGGTGACCAACAATTTTCGTGTAAGACTCAAGATTGACGACACCGGCTACCGCGTGAACCCATGGGTACACATTAGTCGACTCAAGCCTCGAGCGTTGTTACCCAAACGACCGACAGTCCGGACGGAGATCGACGATGACGATGATCTGGATGCAGCTCTGCTGCCGGAGGACAGTTGGGAAGTGGATAACACCAACAACGAGTATGAAGTCGAAGAGATCCTGGACCTACGCTGGTCCAAGCGGACCCGCACTTCCAAGCGTATCCGCGAATATCTCGTCAAGTGGAGAGGCTACGACGAGCCAGACTGGATGCCACTTTCTCAGCTGAGCTGCGGTGCCCTGCTCTATGAGTTCAATCAAGGGGCGAAAGCCCGGGCACGTTTCCGAGCCATCCAGGCTGGAGACGACCACCCGAGGTAGTAAGGCTTCGGGTGATTCTGCCCGGTCGGACTGCAAAGTCTAGCCGGGCCCCGCAGCTGAATGATGTCATTCGGCCGAGATGCGTGTTATGAGATTGAATTTTTTCTAGGAAATGATTGTTTTCGAGTGGAGTCCAGGTGATTGAATCCAGATGGCAAGTGATGGACTTAGTGATTTTGACGAATATGTAGAAGCAAAAGAGGATGGAAATGCAGAAGATGATATTGACGGATTAAACGACAAAGAGAAGACGTACTGCGAAACAACATGGAGGTCTTGATAGGATTGCCCTAGAGGAGAACATTGGCCGCAGGAGAGTGGATGGGGTTTCGACGGCGAACGTCTTCGGGCTTGAGCTGATAACGGACTTCCTTTGGGACGTGTGCAAATCGGTCGATGTCACTGCAGTATGCTGTCCACTGGGTACGCGCAGGGAACTCGCGCTCAGCCGCTTCGACCTGCTGCTCCAACGTGAACTTCCCACCCGAGGAGTTGGGAGTCTTGCGGTGTGCCAAGAACA